TCCTCTTAACCTTACTGCTGCTGCTTTTGTGTTTGAGTTGCTTTCAGGGTTAGTGTTGTTTGCACTATCATTTTGCAATATTTTACATTTCTCTGTCTCAAAGGAGGTGTTTTTAAAACTTGATCTGTCTAAAACTGATTTACAGAAGCATAAACTAGGTACCATCTTCTTAGATACACTTGCAGCATAGGGAAAACTGTAAATTAGAGCGACATTGGCTAGATGTTTGAGTTGGCTAGCATGGGCCCCATGCTCTTCTACACTGCAGTGCAGCTGTTTGGATGGTACTACCTCATCTACATGTTATATTCAGTGAGGCTGATGCTTACAGGAAAGGAGTGTTACTAGGGCAGAGTCAGCAATAAACTCGGAGAGGAGGCAGACGGGAGGAGAGGAAGCATTTGATTCAAAGTCAGGATGTCAGTCTAGCTCCCACTTCTGTCCTGTGTTCTGTATAAGAAAGATCCGACAATTTAACTTTGTTAGGAGTGTGTTATTTTGTTTTGTTCTGGACACTGTTGCTGCTTTCTGAAGATTACTTCTCTCAGCTTGGGACCCATGGGGCATTAACAGTAGCATGAAGTCCTGGCAGATCTGCAGGATACCAACCCTATACTCTTGCAGGCATCATAACCTTTATCACTTCTGCTGCCTGGTATTTGAGGGATTTCCTCTGCTTCCTCTTATTTACGATACATTACACTTGTGACGGAGCAGAACAGGATAGCTTTTACCTGCTACCATCACAAGGGTCCACTGAGGGAAAGATGGTGCACATCTCAAATCCTTTGCATCCTGACCCCCTCTTCCTACCTACCAATCTATATTCCCAGCAAGCAAATCACTTGCCCTCCAAGGCACAATTCCTCGTTCCAGGAAATGCAGACCGATGCTGCCAAAGCATTTGACCCAATTTCTCAATTATACTGATGCTTTAACAAGAGTCAAGAAGGGGTAAGGGATACCAGTTTGAGAAGGAGGGGGAGGAAAAGACAGTTTTTATAACAGTAATGACTCATGGTTTAGCTGCTTACTGTCTGCAGTATCATCTAGATGAAGAGATCATTTTTATCTCACTGAATAATGGTGAGGGAGGATATTTTCTTCCACCAATTCTTCCACCAATTCTAAAAGAACCAGTAACACCTTCTTCTGTTCCTCTTATTAGCAGAGTGGGTTTGTCTGGACTGCAGAAGGCAGCTGGAGCACACTTGTCTGTCCATGCACTGGATTTGGTGTAGGTAGTTTTGTCAGGGTTTCAGAGAATTTTTAAGTGTGCATTTTTGTCATCTGCGCCTTTTGAGGGTCTGAATGAAACATCTGATCTGAAAATAGGTTGGCCAGTGGCCATATCTATCTGTCTTCTTTTCAGCCTTCTCATATAGCTACTATTCTTTACTTTTATGCTTCTCTTAGAATCCTATTTTATTTTTCACTATTAGTTGTTAATTAATTTCTAAAGAGGCTTAGCTCAATGTCGTGTTTTGCAAATGCTTGATTTTTACTTTTCGGAGAAGTTATAAATATGTCTTTATAGATTATATTTGCTTTCCTAGTTCAAAGCTGTTTGAAAATTGTCAGAGTTGGATCTTGGGAATGTATTCTTGTCAAAGGTGTCAGAACTTCTACAGGCTTCAAAAAGAAATACCTGTGTGCGTGCCAGCAGTGGACCGAGTCTGTGCAGCATCTTCAGTTTGCAAAGAACCAAGCAAGTCACAGACAGTAGTTAATATGCTGAAAAGATAGGGTACAGGAAGATAATCCCTATGATGTGGTTTTGGAGACATGAATTAGCACAGACAAGCATAAACAGGAAAAAATAAATGTTACAGTGCAAATCATTTGCTTGCCAATATGTACTGCATCCATTGCAAAACTGTTTCTCTTTGTTCAAAGGTTTCACCAACTTCATGCGCAGTCCTGCTTGTGATATATTTAATCCACTGCATTGCGAAGTGCATCAGGATATGGATCAGCCCCTTTGTAACTACTTTATTGCTTCATCTCACAATACATACCTGACAGGAGACCAACTGCTGTCCCAGTCCAGGGTGGAGATGTATGCACGAGTGCTGCAAGATGGTTGTCGATGTATTGAAGGTATATTTTTAGTGTAACTTGCTGGCTGTGGGAAGTATGATGAATATTTCTTATAAACACAAAGTCAGTGGCAAACTCAAAACATTGATGCTTCACTGTCTGATTACCTTAAGTTGTAAACTCTTGTTTTCTAGTTGTCTAAATAGAATTTTTCTATTGGGAGTGGCCATCTCAAACATCATAGACATCACTGTTTTCTTCTGCCTGCTTCTGTGTTCTTATGCTTTTCTCAGTCAGTGTAAGTCTTCCGTTGCCCTGAATTTGTGTGAAGCATTTTTTTTTTTTGTGGCACAAGCTCCAGTAAGGCAATGGGCACGCACCTGTTTGGGGACCTGCAGTTCCAGCAGAGCAGCCCTGGATGTTCTGCTCTGCAGTTCCCCTGTGCATCACAAGAGTGTTTCCAAATCAACATTGTTCAGAATGAGCTAAACCAGAAAAGACCTTTTTCTTTTACAAGCTGAATGGGAAGGTGGGTGTTTGCATATGCATTTCCTCCTGTGGATGCAAAGGGAAGATGAAAGGTGCCTATAGAAGGAGGACAGGTGAGAAAACAGTGCCTTCTATCAGCACAGCTGAGTATCTATTTATACTGTCACCATCTTAGAGCTGAGAAACTTGGCTTTTGTCTGCCACAATGGAGAGGTAGGATGCAGTTTAATTGGCTGGATGCTGATGGATTAAAACAAGATGCTGTTTGATAGCCTGGAGAGTGTGTTGGATTCTTGTTTAAATTCTGCATGACTTAAATTATAACAAAACATTGTTTTTTTTTCTTTTCAGGATTCTGGGTAGAATAAAGTCTTTTGACAAGTTTTTTATAACTAATATTACAAAACTCATCTCTAGAAAAAAAAGTAAATTGTTAATCTGAATTTAAAAACTAATTAGAGAAAGTGAACCTTAGAAGATTGGGCAATCTACCACTGTACTGTCACTTTTGTAGGAAAGTTCGCCAGAACGTAGAATAGTATACTATATTGCTTGACCTCAAAACCATTGTAGATATACAGCCTAGGTAATAGCTCTTTGGCTTCTCTTTGTGAAGCTCTTAACTTCCTGTAGAGGCAACGGTAGTAACAAGGTTGGTGTGAATCCAGGATAATTCATTAGGAAAAGTATTACTGTCCTAATCCATTCTACATGTGATGGATTTGATGCTGCTTTTACTATAGTCAGTTATAAAACTGCATGCTTAATTGGGTTTGGAAAACAGATTAAATTCTTTTTAAATACTTTGTCTTTCAGAATCAGAAGCTGCTTTCCCAAGAGGTAGCTGTAAATGCTATTTGACCTATCACACCTTTATAATTTTATATATAAGGAAAAAACCTCTCTTAATATAAGGGGAAAAAACAAGTTTAGGTTGCGTATTTCTCATTTGATACAAGAAAAAAAAACCACCTGTCTTGTTAGTCTTAACTGAATTGGTAAGTCATAATAAATTGAATGAAATTCCTTGACACCTGCATGTTTAAGTAGTGTACATATTATCATACAATACTTACAATTGTACATATTATTGCTAGTTCTGCTGGAAAGCAAGATCAGCAGAAATGTATCAGATCATGGGCATCTCTTAATGTATAGCTTTTTCTGTCCTAATAGTGGATTGCTGGGATGGTCCAGATGGAGAACCGGTAGTGCACCATGGTTACACTCTTACTTCTAAAATACTCTTCCGTGATGTGGCAGAAACTATCAATAAATATGCCTTCATCAAAAATGAGTAAGTGTAGAGTGAGTTTTGAAGCTACACCTGTCTGGTTTGTGTAGTTAATCCCATGTCAAAATCAACAATCAACACCAGAAAGTACGAATATTCCTTAAAACACATTGAGAAATTATAAATTTGATTCTGTTCCCCTGCTTACGTCCTGTTTATTGTTCACCTGCATGAGCTGTTTCCATCAATTAAGTTAGAAAGTTCATCCTAAGTTAGAAAGACCTCTCTTGCATTGTAAACTCAGTAATGTTTTGAACAGTCTGAGACTGTTGAATATCTTTGAACAGAACTTCCCACTCGTATCCACAGGGAAATTATTCTTAAAAATCAATACTGTGATATTCTCTATGTAAGGAAAATGCTTCATTTCAGTAGGAAAATTGAAAAGCTATCTCATACACAGTATGAGGAAATATTGAGATGTGGGGTAATGTTCAGATTCTATTTTGTTTACCATGGTAATATGTAACAGTTTATTATGAAAATCATGGAGTTTAACCATATATATACAATAGTCTTAGATGATGAGTGGGTGTATAGAATTTTGAGTATTTTAGAGAGAATAAAGGGGAAATGCTTACATTCTTTTTATTAAAAAAAAAATAAGAGGGCGGGGGGGAGAGGCAAAAAAATTCCCAACCAACAAATAAAATACTCAAGGCCAAAAGTTTGGGGTTATTGATTAGAAATAGGAGGTGGGGATTTCAAAACTGAAGGAGGTGGTTCTTTATTTGGTGTGTAGTTGGCATTGGGAGTTCCTTGCCGTAGAATTCTAGGGCTGCCAAGAGTGTAGAAAACAACAGGGCAAATTTGTGGAACCTCAGGAAACTTAAGCTGCAAGTTCCTGGAGCCTTGAATCTGTTGATTTCAAAACATTTTTCTTCAGGAGTGTCTTGATGATCACTTAGAGCTTACAAAGACTTTGTTCATGGCTTGCAAATAGGAATAATGTACCTTCTGCTCAGTTACATAGAACAGAAAGGCACTCCGTTGCTGATGGGCTTTATTGCAAGTTTCTCTGTGCGTCATGCTTGGTGATCATCAGTTTCAAACTTTGTCACCATGTGTGCTAGTGAGTAGGGTTGGAGTATGAGAGCAGGATCATCTGCAAGGGCTGAAGGATTCTGACAGAACAGGGATTTGGGAGTTCACGTGCAAAGTCCTTCTTCCCAAAGTGAGTTTGTTTCCAGACTACTAACAATGCAAAAGCAAACTGTGTAAACAAGTTTACATGGCAAGATGTGCAGGTCTTCTCTCTTAAAACAGTTATGACAGTATCTGGGATTTTTGCTTCTAGGTTTCCAGTGATACTGTCTATTGAAAACCATTGCAGTATTCAACAGCAAAAGAAGATTGCTCAGTACATGAAGGAGATATTTGGTGACAAACTGGACTTGTCATCTGTAGTCGCTGAAGATTCCACACAACTTCCTAGCCCTCAAAATTTGAAAGGGAAAATCCTAGTGAAGGTAACTTGCTACTGGTGACGTGTTCAAGATGCAACAAAAGTAATATTTATTGTGCTGTTTCTTGTATATTTTCTTTGGCTTTGGAGAGCCAGTTCAGCAGTATCATGTAGAATAGTACAGATGCAGTAGGTGAATTAAAATTCTGAGCTTTTCAGAGACACTCAAACTGAGTTGACCTTGGACTTTGTGAGTGTCCTAAAGTACTTTTGTAAGTGTTTCAACAGGGAGGTGATATCAACAGCAGTGGAAAGAATATTCTTCCTATTTCTTGAGCATCTTACTGAAGAGTCTTAAAGACAAAGGTGTTTATTTTTAAACCTTAGCACCATGTCACGAGCGCAGAAAAATGATACAAAATCCATCAATATGAATAAAAAGAACTGACAGTTACCTGAACCTGGTATTTTCCTTTTTTTTTTTTTTTTTTTCTTCATTTTTTAAGATTTGTCTAGCCTGTTATTAGTGGATATTGTTCTGTATGGTACATGTGCCTATACCATCTAAACATTACCCTACAGCTCCTTCTTGAACAAAGTATTTTGGAGTAATATAAAAGCATCTGAAAATTTCTTGTGTTTTCTTGCATTTCCCCTCACCCCCTACCCATGAGCAGTAGTTCATGAAATGAAACTATTTTCATGGTTCATCAGCTGTGTTTATGAAAGAAGAGTGTTTCAGAAAGTAGCTATAAGGAAGAGTGAGGGTGGAGGAGGCCCTGGAGCACTGAAGTTAGTGTTGTATGCAAGATTAATTGTTTGAACCTCTCAGTATAAACGGATTTGCTCTGAAAGGAATTTCAAAGACTGAGATGGATATAGTAAGAAAGAAATGCAAGGCAGATCTTTGAGAGGGTGATTAATAGAGTTGTGGCTTATCAGACTGTCAAATTTACGTTGACACATGCGGCAATTACTTTGCTGTGAGCTCTTGAGACGCTATTTCCCACCCACCCCACCCCCATCCTCTGTATCAAGCTGGCTACCAGGATTCACAATTTTGGTTTGATGTTAGTTTGGACACATTTCAATGTATAGTGCAGAGCTGACTCTGAATTAGAAAATGTTTTTGTGCTTAACTGAGTCAGTTTTCATGTGTAACTGCTAGTTAATGACCTGTGCAAGCATGTAGCGTTGGTGTTTTAGAGAGTCATATGTACGTAATGTCAGTCATGTGACAAAACCCGGCACACCTGGCTTGAACTACTATGTCAATGCACAAAAAGCAAGAGAGGTTTGGTACTGTGCAGCTCTTACTGCTGGTTTTGAGTTGGTTTTTGTAGCACATCTGAGTTTGTAACTTCAGTTTGATTCTTCATTTGACAGTGCTGAAACCCCGTGAGTAGTTACAGAAGTGTGTGGAGCTGAGCTAATGTTTTCAGAATAAGGAATGGTATTTTAAGCATCACAGTATCTTTTCACAAAGCCCTGTCTCCCATGTCCTGCTCAATTTAAGCAGCCCTGTCAGAAAAGATAAAATCATGTTTAGGAATCAGCATCTTGTTGAGAATTAAAACGGTTTCTCATATTTTGCTATTATTTTTGCTGGTTTTTATGTTTTTACTTTGAAAAGGCAGTATTGATTCATTAGCCAGATAATTTTGAGTAATGGCATAATTTTCATCTTGCCAGTGTATATAAAGAGTAATTGTAATAATACTCATGGATTTAAGTCAGTATTAAAGGTGACAGCATGAAGTGAATTTGACCAACTTGTTAGCAGGGCAGCATTATTAATTTCCAAACGCAGCCTATAAATCAATCTATTTCTACAGAAATCTGAGTGTAATTCTTGTTTACCTCTGCCACTGATGAAACAGACTGTGAACATTTCTACAATCAGTGAGAAAGACACACATAGAAGTAATAACTCAAATGTTTAATAGATAATGTATTAAGTAGCAGACAGTTAAGGAAGAGGCAATGGCCACAAGTTACAGCATGGGAGGGACAGATTGGGTGCCAGGAAAAGCTTTTTCAGCTGAGGGTAGTGCAGCATGGAAAGAGACTGTGCAGAAGACCAGGGGAGTCTCCGCCCTTGAAAGTTTGCAAGACCTGGCGAAGCAAAGCTCATCTAGAGCTGGTAATGATCCTCCTTTAGTGGGAGATTGGACTGGACACATTCAGAGCTCCCATAGCCAACCTTTCTAAGGTTCTGTGATTGCACTTCACTTTAAGTCATGAAGCAGGAGAATCAAAGATGAGTGCTCTAAAAAGGAAAACTAATCTGTCAGAGCTTTTTTTTTTTTTTTTTTTTATCTTTTTTTCCCAAAAGTAGCTATTAACCTCTGTTTGATGCTCACCACTCTAATTGGTTGTTGGAAACTAGACATGGAGTTAAAGTAGTTCCTTTCTAATGTAGACATATGACATTCACAGTACTGGATTAGCATCTAATTTTGGACTGCTGACTACACTCTTGTGTGAGCATACAATATTAAAACAGGTTTTGGCTTTGCTGCTTCCTTCATGTTGATGTCTGCTTGCAGTGACTTCTTCTGTGCCTGCGTTTTCTATTCTTATGAGGAACCTATAACAAACTCTCAGCTTCTTACTTTTGTTTTTATTTTAAATATACAGTAGTCTGCTTGCTAGGGGTAAGTCTGAAACATCTGAAACTCAACTCAAAAAAAATTTTTGGACCCTTGCTGGCTTTCAGACAGGTGAGGTGATACACTTTTTCAAAAGACCTTGCAAAGATCTTCAAGTAATAAACTCTTCCAGAAAAACTTAAATTATCACCTGTGATAATCTAGGTTCTTGAACCACTTTACATGAGAATCTCTGAAAACAAATTTCAGACTCTGGTCATAATTTAAATAAGGAGTAGTTGAGGAATGGGCTATTTTGGTCTTTGCATTAAATAACACTGACCATGTGTGCATTTACTGTGAATATTTTTTTTGCCCCTCATTTTAGGGTAAAAAGTTGCCGTGCACTCTTGGAGCAGATGCTGATGAAGGAGAAGTTTCAGATGAAGATAGTGCTGATGAAATTGAAGATGACTGCAAATTAAAGCCTTGCTATGTATGTGCCTGTACACAGTTCCTAGAACTGTTACAACTTTACATTTCTTACATGCATGCTCCATAATGCTACTTAGAGTTGTTAGCAGATTTCTAAGTCAGGTCTTTAAGATACAGAAGTTGTAAAATTTCACATTTAGATATGCAATTACATTGTTTGGAAATGCATACTTTGTCTTTTAAGTCATATAAATAAAGGATTTAAGTACTTCAGGTACACTAGACTGAAAGCATTGATGCCAGCACTGTCAGCATACTAGGCTTTTTTCAGATACAAATGTGTAGTACTTAAAGCAATGGCATGGTGGAATTGCTACACAATTGCTAGATGAAAATTGAGACATACAAATGAAACAAATATGAGGTGTGAAAGGTTCATTTTCAATCCTTCTGTTTCTTATTTTTTGACACAGAAGATTGATTTCCGTTTGCTTTCTTAACTCCTCATTTTTCTGCTGTTAATTTTATTAACATATTTTTTTGCTACAAACTGAAACTGGTGTGCATTATCCAGCAGGTGGGGTTTTTTTCTAGTCAGGAGACAACCTTGCTTCACCAGTTAAAACTTTTGAACAAAGAAAATGCTATCTTGGGAGATGTAGAAAGAATTGAACAAATTCAAATTAGTACTTGGCAAGTCTAGTGTTTAGCTTGCTCAGTGACTCACAATATCATATTTTTTGTTGGTATTTACTACAGTATTGGAAATAGTTGGTATTAATTTATGGGGAAGCTTGAAGACTCCCAATTCCATACATCTTTAGGAATATGATTGATTTTAAGCACAGCTACAAAATACTGCAGGTTTAAGTTCTAGGAAAAAGTATATATTGAATGAACATAACTCTAATTGTGGGTAGAGTGAGATGAGATGAGATTGCTCAACTGGTTCTGAAACCAGCGTAAGGCCTGAAATGAAAGTGCTGTTCACAGGAGCAGTCTGTGTAATCCATGTATACTTTACTAACATGGCTTGAGTGCTTCTGATGAGATTATGCTTTCTTTAACAGAAAGACCCAAGGCCTAAAATTTGGCAATCCTTAAAGCCAACTCAAAACATACTGTGTCTTTTGGGGCTAGAAATGGAACATGTTAGGACAGAACAGTTGCTTTCCTCTCCTGTCTCAGGAGAGGTCTCACACCCCAGTGACAAATGGATGCTAAGTGCACACTGTTCTATAAGGTCCATTTTTATTTTAGGCACTTTATGTAATAGGCTGGTTTCTGTCTGTATAGTACATATGAGTGTTGTTAACGCCTCTTTCTTACTGTTTGGAGCCGAAATATAATGATGCTTGGATTGTCTGGTATTTTGGAGGAAGTAGTTAAGTGCATTAGCTAGAAATTCATGTCATCATCTGAGAGAGAAGGTCAGACTTGTAACAGTTTTGAAACAAATTGCAAACACCAGGGCCAGGTTCTGGGCATTCTGTGTGCTGGACTGTGCTTTGGTGAAGTGGTGTTAAGTTGTGTCAGGAGGACTAAAAAGAAAAAGGAAAATGGAAATGGCAGTAAAAGCCACTAATAGAAAAGGCAAGGTTATGCAAGACAGGATTATACAGGAAGCTTTTTCTTGCACAAATTAAATGTTTGGAGCACTGTGTTGCCTGAAGCATGTGCAATGCTCCCTCATTCTGTTCCAGAAGTGATGGACATAATAATCTACTTTAACTGGATTTCTTAATGTCTTTCAGAGTAATGGTGCAACTGAGCACCAGGTAGAATCTTTTATAAGAACAAAACTGGAATCTCTAATGAAAGAATCCCAAATCAGGGACAAAGAAGATCCTGACAGCTTCACTGTGAGAGCCCTGCTAAAGGCAACTCACGAGGGTTTAAATGTTAACCTGAAGCAGGTATGTGGATATTTCCCTTTCATGTGCTCTGTTGAATATTAGAGAGTACAATGTGTATTGCACATTTTTGAGATGAGGAAGCTGATAAACTTATAAACAACTTCTGAAAGTTTGCTTTATCCAAAGTGAAAATTTGGAACTATTTCAGGGAAGTATCTAAGAAGAGAATTTGGTCAAATGTGAAGAGTATGTTGTTTCAATGTTTTCTAATCTGGTTTATTCCTTGTAACACTTGGAAGCAACCAATTCAGTAAGTACCAATTGCAAGCATGTATCAAGCAATTCAGTTTGTGTCTAGGTTATTGGGGGAAGATCCTTTTTCTATTGCCTTAGTCTTATGAAGACCGGCCATATTAGCAGAAAGCGTTGTCTGCCTCTAATGCCAATGCTGGTTTGTACAGCACTAAAATTTAGGATTGTGATTTTACTGCTCTAGGAAAGGTTGTTTTTTTTCATGACTTTCAGACTGTTTCAGATCAAGAAGGGTAGGCTTCTTTTCTCTTTTGACATCAAACGACTTTTGTAAAACAGTCAAATGTATCAGAATTTTGACTACATCAATAAACAGTACCTTGAATCCATGGTTACCATACTTTCACCTCAATTGTGTGCAAACCTCAGTTAAATACTGAGTGAATTGTTCTGTGGGGGATGTGCCTACTCTGTAACAGGTATAGTCTTAAAGGTCGAGTACATGTAGCTCTGCTTTCTGCATGTCTTCCCACTCTTTAGGGCTTACGTAGTTCTTGTCAATCTTTCTCCAAGGCTGGACCTATGAGACTTTTGTCTGAAGCCAGGCTTGACTACAGCAAACATACTCTGCTTGCGCTGATGCTCGAGACACCTGTAAAACCTGTGTTGTGGTGGGAAAAGGTTGTAAGAATGCAGAGGGCTAAGCAATCTGACCTGACAGAGAAGGGTTATTTTTAGACTGTGGCTTTGCAGTGTGAGAACAGTCAGGTTGCTGGTTCCCTGTGGCTTTCATGAGGTCAGAAAAGTGGGATTTCAGAGAGCAAACCCTATGTTAGTAAATGTAATTAGATAAGAGCCATTTCAGTGCTACTTTGTGTTAAAATTACATTTGCTATGTTCTCTGATGTCTCAAAAATGATTGGCCCCCAGATAGCTTTTAAGAGGGTAAGGAGTTTTGTTTAAAGAATGCAAAAGTCCATAAGGTGTTGGTGTTGGATATGATGACTGAGATTACCCATTACATGTCATTGATGTGACCAGAATACTGAAAATACTTTAGTAATACAAGTGTGTTATTCAGCTATCTGTCACGTAATAATATTAAGTGATAGAATTTTCTAATTGACATTTGAAATTATTGAGATCTCTTCCCTTGCTGCAACAACCCTGTGTGAAGATTGATTGTATGTGACTGTTTTCAAGGGTCTTATAGCAATACAGCCCTGAACAATTAATAATAGTCAATTAAAACAACTGGAAGAATAATTTATAGCCACTGTTGACTTAGATGGGAGGAAGCTAACTGGCTAAACACCGTGATGGTTTGGTAGTTGCCTGATTCATTAGCTAGCTTTGGTGGTGTTGTAAAGCTCTTTTTTAGTAGCTACTGTGTAATTGATGTACCAGAAAGGGATCTGTTGGGAAATTTTTCTACTTTTTTGCTGGTCAAATCTCATTTTCTTTTACCACAAGTTTATGTGCTCATCTCCAGTAATTACCAAGTCAGTTCTGGGGGGAAGTGAGCAGGGTAAGCAGGCAGTGTGTACAATACTTACTGTCAGTCAGGCCTGATAGTAGTTTCAATTTGCTGTTGAAACTGCCAACTCTCACTCTTATCTGAGGGAGAAAAGTACTTTATCTGCTGAAGTTTCATCCAGTGTTTTACAGAGACTTTCATCCTGAGCTAGGAACAAATCTTTGAACATAGATACAGAGGCTATTGACTTTCTCGGAACTGAAGAAACCACGTAGTGCCCTTACCGTTACAGTAGTCAGAAGTGAATTCCAACTCAACACTGAACAGGGAATAACTGGAGTTCATAGAAATTGCTGAAACCCTGGGGGAATATTCATCAGCACCTTTAGGTCTTTGTTTTGCTTTTTAGAAGAGGAAGGAATGTGCTTTTCTGACAGAAAAAGCTAGATGCTGCTAGGAATTATCAAACTTATGTCTAGGGGCATGGCTATAAACGTGAAACTCACAGGCTGCCTATGAAAAGTCCACATTTATCTGCTACAAGATATTTTTTTTCCCCTTTTCTTTTGTGACTATTTTCAAGTGCACTTTCAAATGTTGTTATGTTTTGTTGTTGCTTGCCTTTTTTTGCTAGACTGCTTTTTCTACATGGGTGATTGTTGTCTTAAGTGTCAATATTTTTCCTTAATGCTATAGGATTGCTAAGCTATCAAAGAAATAAAAAAATTAGAGAAGTCCTGTGAAGATTTTGGATTTCAGTTTATGTTCACAAATCAGTATGTTGTGGTTTAGACTTTAACTCACTTCTATTTTTACTTGCAATCACTGTACTTTTCTAATAGTGAATTAGGGTGACATGCAAAAACTTAGGTAGAAATTATGTCTTTTAGAGACTGTAGCAGGCTCTTTAAGGATACTTCTGAAGGTACCTAGTTATACTTCTTATTGCACTTTCTCTGCACAGAACCTGGACATAAAAGAAGGTGGAAAAAAGTCTCATAGTCGATCATTAATGGGCAACTTCGGTAAACACAAAGTAAGTAAAATGAGAAACTCAGTTTGCTGTTCTAGTTCTGACAGCATTCTAGAGACACTGGGTATGTTTTATTGCTTGGAACAAGCATGGTGTGTATGGGGCAGTGAGAAAAGACTACATGATTACACTTGGTACGTTTATTGCTGTTCAGAAGAATATTGTCTGTAGCAGTATTAGAGAACTTTTTAAAGATGAACGTGTAAAGTCAAAAAAAATAAATAAATCTTGCCTGACAGAAAAGATTGTCTTTACTAGTGATGTGGAATTACTGGTTTTCTGATCAAACTTGCAGCAGCATAAGAACAATGTAGACAAATGCCTTTGTGTATTCTTGTTTTCCAGACTTCTGTGCACACAGCTGATACTGTTGGTTTCATTCAGGGTCCAGTTTTGCTGTTTCGTACCCTGAGCAGTGCCACACAGAGTATGCTGTGACTGTCTTTCCACTTGCTTTAAGGGACTGCTGTGACTGAGTACTGGCTCTGGCTCTGCTTAGTAAAAATGTGTTCTTTTCTGATCTTTTCATGGTTTTGCAGATAAGTTAGATGTTTTTGTAGCTGCTAGGTCAACCTGTTTGCTTCGCTGGGTCTTCACTGTTGCAGCTGAATGAAGCAAGATCTGATATAATTTGAATGAGTGTGAGGTTTCATTTTAGAGATAGACAGATAGACAGATAGCAGCTACCAGAAGGGACAGTGGGCCTGTGTTTCCTCCTATTCCCATATCCTGACAAATGTGTTCTGTCATCCACCTCCCCTATTCCCACACTCCCACAGTGCCTTGAGGCTTAGATTTATTGAACATGTAACCTCAGCATGCTTTGGTTCAACTGAAAGCTTCCTTCCTCCTGAGTCAGTTAGCAGATACCAAGTAAGTAAATCGGCAGATAGGCTTGTCATGAAAGGGGCATACAGCAGGTCTGCAGCTGAATCACTGTGCTGCCAGCGGCTTCCCCTGCCCCAGCCTGCAAGACACCTTCAGTGCTATCTGAGGTGAAAGCTGCATGTGAGCAGGGAACACACTCTGTAATTGATAAAATCTGAGCAGCAGTTTAGGAAAAACAGCAATCAGAAAATACTTCAGACAACTTAATCAGCCACCAGCTCATCTGCCCTGGAGTCAGCTAGGAGCCATCAGAAAGTCTCTAGGCAGACAATACCAGGACCCATTTACACTTCGATTATAAGTTTCCATCAGATCGAAGTGAACATACTTCTTTCAACAGCTTTATCTAAGTGCACATTATTCACTCAGTATATGTTGAGATCTGTAAGTACCTGTTGTGCATGATAGTGCATACTTCCCATTGTAACCTGTGCTCACTGATGGGAAAACAAACGCTGTGGAATGAGATATCACTGACAAAAGTGAGCTACTAAAAACTGCTGGTTATGCTGAGGGCTGGAAAGTATGTCAATAATTTAATTACTACAACTAGGTAACCTAATGGATAGAGCAGGTTGGAAAGCCTGTTGGTTCATCTCTGCTGAAAAAAATAAGAGTATATATACTTCCCCCCCCCCGATTGTGTTGGAGACTGAGGCAACAGGGATGTCCAGTAACTTCCCACTTATGCCCTTCCAGCTAAAGGGATGCCTGTGAAGGATGGTTACTATTGATATTTTTGCAGGTACAGAATTATCCACCCAGGGATATTGACTTGTGGTATTTTCAGCCAGCTCTTGTGCCGCATGTACAAACTCTTTAAAAACTGCCAGTGGAGGGACAAACACACTAAGGCTGGCAATTCCCGCAAGTTAACTATGGGAAACATCCACAGTGCAGACCTTCAGATTCCAAAATTGAGCTAAGGAAATGATTTCCAATCTAGGCAATTCTATTTCAGCACTAAACACAGCAAACTAACTCATGTACATTTACTTGTGTATCCCACCAGGAGAAAAGAAATTAGCCGTATGAGTAAAAGGATAAGGAGTTTTCAGCTATATTGTTAATTACCCCTTGATGAGAAGGGAATTAAAGAAACTCTCACTTGAAGCCATTGTTAGTGTTACAAAAGATGCAATGTTGTTGAAATTAGAAACTATTAAATAATCGTTGCTTACAAAATAAAGGTGCTTTTCAGATGTTAATGTTTTTATCATAGCTATTTTCTTTACTGTCTACTGTAGTAATTTGGAATAACTTGAATTCTTGTAAGTGGGACTCAAAAGGCAGCAGAAAGATGGTGTTGGAAAATTTTGCCCATTCACTTCATGAATTATTTCTTAAATTTTCTAAACTGGGGGAAACATAGGTAGGTGGAAGCAGTGCATCATACATTTATATACTACTGTGTGTTACTGTTTGTTAAATATGGTACAACCCATTAGAATTTCAGCGGGACGGGTGGCCAGTGTGTTGGAGACAGTTGGAGCGGTGTTGTGCTTTCATGTCAGGAGGGAGCAGGGGAGGGAAGCTGCAGAATATGCACTGGCCTGCAATGGGCTGGCCGCTTTGCATAAATAATATTCTTCAGGCTTGGATTTGTCTGCTTGCCAGCAGATAAACCTGCTCCCTGGCTGCAGGCTTGGCTCCTTGCAGCCAGATAGAGTGAGATCTGGGCACAGATGCTTTGTGTTGGCTTTTCTTCTCTGCATATATGGAAACGCTTGACATACCACCCAGAGTTTTCTGTTGTCAAATTCCCAGGGGTCATTCTGCATCCTTGTAGGACACTGGTCCTGTGCTGTAAACCTGCTACAGCTTGCCCAACCCCCTAACATTAATTTCAGTTATGTGTATTTATAGAACCGCCCCATAAACTGACCCAGCTGTGCTCGATTCTTTTCCAACAGAAAGCTGTAAAGGCAGCACCCAAATACCATAGTGCATCGGATGATGAAGAAAGCCAGCAAACCCCCTGTGGGAAGGAAATGGGGCAGCTGCACAGGTGAGCTATGAATCACCAATTTTACAGCTCAGTTAAAGCTAGAGGCAATGTTTACTACTATCAATATTGTCATTGCCTCGGGGAAGTCTGTTCTTAAGAGCAGGTCATTTATGACACTTCTGTTGGTGTGTATCTTTCTTGATTGCTGTAGCCTGATAATTTTGATTGCATAGGTTTTTATAGGTTGCAAATAGCAATTACCCTTAGACTGAGAAGTGTGATAGTAATACTCTTGTAATGGAAAATGCTGATCTACATTTTGCATGCTGTAAGAAAACTCTTTAGGCTAGATAAGGGTACATCACAGCCCAGCCAACTTTATTACATCTGAGAATGTAAAGAAAAAGTAATCAAAAAAGTGCCATTGAGAATGCATTTGTTGCCACCAAAATGCTCCTTTTTCAGATACAGCTCAAAGCTGTCTGCCTTGTTTTTGTTGAGAAGAGCCATGCTGCAGCTATTTCATTATGTTTTAAATGAAAAAATTTGTTTGTGTATTGTGACTATAGAGGTACAAGGGGAGTCCTCTCTGAGGAGGTTTGCTGCACACGGTTCCCTGTTCACAGTTGTTCTTTTCCATATTGATGAAAAGAACAGAAAGAGGGATTCAGATATATTTTAAATATTGAAAAATTCCTGATTTGTATGATATATTGAACATATTTCAGCAGACTGGCTCATCGAAGAAGAACAGTGAAGCTGTGCCGAGCTCTGTCTGACCTAGTTGTGTACACGAACTCTGTGGCTGCCCACGATATAGTAGATGATGGTAAGGCTGCTGGCACAAGACTTTGACATACCTTTTTCACTTTCCTGTTTGGATAGGAAACATGTATCCCTTCTTCATGTTCCCCGTGTTTGTTGGTTTTGGGTTTTTGGGGGGTTTGTTTGCCTGGGGTTTTTTTTAAGATGTTTTAAAAGCAGAGTGGTTAGTTACCTGTTCATTTTACTTAACTGTAGAGAAAGAGTAAAGCACCACCTTTCTCTTGGTTTCTTATGACATTCGTGTTTTAGTAACAGTTTTAAAAATGAGTCTTTCTTAGGAGAGCCTTTTTCTGTTTTCACAATTATCTAGAATTTGTCATCATCTTTTAGTTTTATCAATTTTAAATAGCATCTAGTAACATGATAGATTTTTAGTTGTGATAAGTAGATGTGATCCCCATTCAGAAAGTGTGCAGTTGTTTCACTAAACCTATTAGAGGTAAAATGGACAGTGAGAAAGTTGCAAAGGAATTTGTGGGGAAGGTCACTAAACGTACATGAGCAAACTGTGTATAAAATTCTGTAATTACCATAAAATTAATTCCTAATTTAATAGAATTTAATGGGAGAAATTAAGGAGGGTGAAAGCACCATGAAGAAAGAGTTCAAGAGATCTTACAAGAACAAAGTCCTGAGGAGTTTCAGTGTCATTGCTCTGAGCTAACAAACAGCTCAGATTTTTCTGCAGGTCCAGGTGCAGAGAGGTACTTCTGAATCCATCTGATGGCTCTTGGCCACCTGGAAAGGAGGGCTTGCTCATCAGAGCACAGTACTGCTCTTGCCTTTCATCTAGATCTTGTGCTTTTTGATGCTGGCTGAAGAGATGGACGTGGAGAGATCATACAGTTGAGTGGGTCTAACTGATCTCTCAGTTTGGCACTTTCGCCTAAGAAACTCTTCTGGGCTGTCTTTCTCCCAGAGGGCTGATCAGAGGGAGTCTGCGTAAGGGGTAAAATTCTCAGAGAGAAGACTTACGAATTGGAAAGATTGCTTGGATTATTTAGAGAAAGGGTGAGTTTAAATGCGTTGAGTGCTTCTATTAATGTGTAACAAGGACAAGAGCCCTGCTGGGTGCTAATTCCCCTGACTCTAAGCTCTTGAGTAAGATAGTTTTTGTCATGCTGCCATTAGTAGATTTCTCTATAGAGTCTTCATAGCAGTTTTGTCTGGGGTGCTTGGCAGGAGAAAAGGCTCTAGCAATTAGCTTGAGCTCTTGCTTGGCTTCCCGTTTATGTTTTGGAAGCTTGAGAGTAGAGCAAAAGACCCTCCTGGAAGGGGAAACTGGTGCTCTTCAGTTATGCAGTGTATGAGATTTACATATGACAGGGCAATCTATGTTATAATTTAGGACTAAATCTCATCTTCTCCTTGATTAATACCTATGTAACTGAGGTCTGAGTTCAGGCCCTCATCTCCTAGGATTGCTTTTTAACCTGTTTGTTGATTTAACAATGCACACAGGATCAACAGGGAATGTGCTATCATTCAGTGAAACAAGAGCCCACCAAGCAGTGCAGCAGAAAGCTGAACAGTTTATGCTTTACAACCAGAAACAGCTTACAAGGGTGTATCCATCAGCCTATCGAATTGACTCCAGCAATTTCAATCCTTTACCCTACTGGAATGTTGGTTGCCAGTTAGGTAGGTGTTGCATGAAAACTTACTTCCCAGTCCTTGTGTATGTGATAAGTAAGTATTATCTTTGTCAATGACACCTGAGTTTTCTCTTTCATCAGTGGCACTAAACTACCAGTCTGAGGGACGTGTGATGCAGTTAAATGAAGCAAAATTTAGGGTAAACGGCAACTGTGGTTATGTCCTGAAACCTCAGCAGATGTGCAAAGGTAATGTCCCACTGTATGTTTCTTACTGTTTCAAGCCTTTCAGAAAGTGTCATCGTATGAAGTCGTGAAGACACAAGAAAGGAAAGTAAGGACATATATAGAATCTTTAATATTTCCATACATTCATAACTTATTAGAGGGGACCTTTCTGTCTTGTAATCATATAACTAAGGGCTGCTTAGCTCAGAAAAGGTTGCAAGAAAGTGGAATGGAATTTTAAAATTAATCAACAGCTGTTTCATACTTTATAAGTTACTTTCTTATGACTGAACTTTGCCATCTTTTAGGCACATTCAACCCCTACTCTGCTGATCCACTTCCTGCCAGTCCTAAAAAGCAGCTTATTCTGAAAATCATCAGTGGACAGCAGCTACCTAAGCCCCCTGACTCCATGTTAGGGGACAGAGGAGAGGTAAGATACTGATAACCAATAGATGCTTCAAGGAGAGGCCGTGCAATGACATGACAGATTGTGACTCAAATAAACTTTCTCCTTATTTAAATATACCAATAAATTTCCAATATCATCAAGCTTTTGGTCACTAAATACTATGTTTTCCCACAGAGTCTGTATCCTACGCATGATGTTTAAGAACTGATTTGTACTCTTTTGAAAATTAGTCATAGCTGGCCAAAGCTTTTAAGACTACAAACCATACCTCAGTTTATACTTCCTGAAGTCATTTCTCATGATTATGCTGTTTGAAAATCCATGTGAATCAAAGTTTTTGAATTCTCATATGAATTTAGATTAACTCTCTGCATGAATTTTTGTAAAAATTGACTTTTAATTTTTCTCATTGGCTTGCTTTTAAAAAATAGATAATAGATCCTTTTGTTGAGGTGGAAATTATCGGGCTACCTGTTGACTGCTGTAAAGATCAGACAAGGGTGGTTGATGACAATGGTAAGATAATCTAGCTGATTTCTTCTTCTTGGAGTAAAATATTAAGTAATTATAAATTATTCAGTATTTGTTATTACTTTCTAAATTGCAAAGCTTATTTGACGAAATTAAATGATTGTATTCTAACAGATTAATTCTGAATTTCTGGTCTGAGGAGACAGACAAGATAGAAGTGAAGGACAGGAGCTGTTCACCACAATATCTTTCTCCTGGATAGTTCTTAAATCTCCTTTATGCAGAAGTCACAATTTTTTATTTTATTTTTTTAAATTTTTTTAATGTATGAAAAATACATGTATAACTTCAAATGCAATGAAAAAACCAAATCACATCCTAGGAAGTTTCACTGCCACCTCAGCCTTCATAGGAAGAAGACGACTAACAGAGCGGGATAGCCTGTTGCAGCAAGAGACGTGGCATCAGTTTTCACAGGCAGTTGTAAAATAATGGGGAGGGAAAAAGGGTAATTCTTGTTCTGATTTGTCTTTAGCCTACTGTAGTTCTACAGAAAAACAACTTGCCTTGGTAACCTTGCCAGCTACCCAACTAGAACTATTTTGTTTGTAAAAGCAACGAAAGAGACAGATCTGTTGCTTTGAATTACTTACGTAATGGAGATTGAGAGCAGCTATATCTAGATGAGCAATAACTAATAAGTTTTCATTTGTGTATTTGGTGGTCTTTTTTCTTATGCCTCTTGCTGTGTATTATGAAAATTGAGTCTAGTGCTTGCTATGGACTTGGTTTCCAAAATTTCTGTTCTGTTTGCTTTACAGGGTTTAATCCTGTTTGGGAGGAAACACTCACTTTTACTGTCCACATGCCTGAAATAGCTTTGGTGCGATTTCTTGTTTGGGACCATGATCCTATAGGGCGAGACTTCGTTGGACAAAGAACTCTGGCCTTTACCAGTCTTGTGCCTGGTTAGTCCTACTTGTTTTCTTTGATTTAGAAATCTAGCTGAAGAACAAACATCTTTGAACTTAAAGTTTAAGATGAAGTTATCAGCATAAGAGATATGCTTATATCTCTGAGATTTCTTGTACAAGCATGGACAATTCTCCTTAGGGTGGTATATTCATCATTACTTGAGGGAGTTTGGGTGTCTGTGCCTTTGGAAATTACTGTTGGTGTCTGACTTATAACTTGGAGGCATTTTATACTGGGGTGGGCTTGGAAAACCAGTGAGAACCCAAGGCAGGTTTTAGTAAAGGCATAAGGTGGGTTACTGTATATATTTCACTTTTATAGACAGTCATTACCAGTTGTGCTTAAAATTATTTGTGGTGCAATATTTTTGGCTTACTAGGTTATCGTCATGTGTATTTAGAAGGACTGACAGAAGCATCCATATTTGTTCATGTAATCATTAATGACATCTATGGAAAGGTAGGTATATCTGGAAATTTACATCTTTTATGACTTGTTTGTTTTAATTCTGGTAAAAATGGATTTAAATATACCGCAGAACCTCACAGGATTTGTGTGGTTTCTAAATGATTCTTACAGCTTAGGTTTGTGGCAGTTTGGACATTGGCTTAGCAGTGCCTAGCTCTCCCTGGCAATGATCAGTAATAAATTTGAAACAAAGTATTCGGATCATACGGTAATGACATAGCAGAATGTCTGATTCTCTATTGTTCTCAACTTGATGTCTTCATTTATACTTGAATCTATAGGTAACTACACGCACGCTAAGCATCAGCATGCTCAAGGAAGCAAAATACAATGTCTTATAGTGTTTTCTCTGAGGAGCACTGAGCCAGGGTACCCATTCACAGCACACCCATGTCCAGTAAAACTTGTCTTTCACCAGCTGAGATACGCCAGTAACAGCACAGACATGCTTCTGTTGAAGCACTCAGGAGGCAGAAAGATGTAACTCATGGTGTGTGGTGTGGTTCCTTGCGGGTGATCAGCAAGGAAAGCATAATGTACTCTTACCCTGGACTTAGCATGCATGTACTCATCAATGTTCTTACTGTTAGCGCCTAATAATTACCATGTCCAGATACAGTAAGTACATTTCTTCGGTGTGTTAAACTGATTTTATTTTAAAGTAAATCTTGAGAACTGTAACAGCACCAGAACATGGTATTTGGCAAGCTATTTTTAGCAACTAATTTAAGCTTTAAATCTTTCAGGCTTTAGAGCAACGATTTTGGTTTTCTGCAAGATTACTGATTTTAAAATGCTTTTTAAAAAGAAAATAAAAGCACAGTCCTTTTTCTGTGCATTCTTGCTTCAACTGCCTTCTTGAGCAGTTCACAAGATGTCATTGGAGATAACTAGCACAAATAAATTAAGGCCGTATTCAACAGGACGCTAAAATAAAATAGCTCTTTGTAGTGATTAAAAAAACCAACCAAACAGAAAAGCCCCACAAACCAACCTGCCCACCTTTATGAAGAGTAAAGGTTGAAAAGAACAGTTAGCCCTCAGTCTTTCTCCCTTCTGAGAGTGGATACAAAGAATGTCATTTCAAATATGTAAAACCACAGTTCTGCAAGTATGCAAGGAAAGCAGAGTGGAACAGAAATAGAAAATAACATATACAAGGCCTTGGAGCTGAGATTGGTATAGTCCAGATCCTTACTTACCTCCCCTACCTCTATCGACACTGATCCCATTAGATTACTGAATGATTCAATGGTGGCTCTATAAGCAACTTTGATGTCTTGCTCTTGGCATCCTTGTCTCAGCGCAGGGACCAGGGTTTCAATGTACTCCTCTGTTTTTGCCTCCACAAGTGTTCTTCCTGCCAGGGAGGACAGCAGCAAGATGGTGGAAGGAACAGCACTGACCATACCAGATCTGTGCAAGTTCTGTGCGCAAAGACAATCTTTTGGTATCCAAGGTAGACTTTGTTACTCCTAAATCAGTGTAAAAAGAAAAACAGTAGTGAACAGGCTGGAATGCACTGCAACATATACCTAGACCTGTACATGTCTGGGTACAAGTATGAAATCGCATATGGTTTTGGTGGTAGTCTGTAGCAGAGACTGTTTGGCTATTGCTCTTGGCTCATGTGCTCTTCAAAGAAGAAATAGACTCAAGAAAAACAGTAGAAAGTCACTTCTTAGGGAAGACCAAGAGGAGGAAGGGAGGAGAAGACCCATTGAGACTTGATCTCTGTATCACTTGGTCTGTTCATCTAATGCTTGCCTTAGTGATGGGCTGTGCTATTGTTTCTAATGTATAACCAAAGGCCGAATGCATGTTTGCATCCTTACAAGTGAGGCTGTCTGGTCAAGTTTCTGAGAGAGACTTACATTAGACTAATAAATAGGTTTAAATTATTTGCTGTAGAGCAGTTATATTTAGACTTGATTTACTACTACCTTATTTGCTTGTATCAAGCTTGTAGCCAAATGTATTTGCATTTTGTTTTTGCCTTTCAGTGGAGCCCTTTAATCCTCAATCCCAGTTACACAATATTGCACTTTCTAGGAGCCACAAAGGTAGACTTCATTAGCATGCACTTTGCACTTGCTGGGCACGGATTTTTCAAATGGTTCCTAATCGCATGATCTGCAACTACCAAACTTACATCATTCTTCATTCAGACTCTGAAACATTTGAATATTGCTTTGATGAAGCCCATGCATAAAATTCCAAGTTAATCTGTAGCCTGTCACTGTAGTATACGTCTTACAATCTTGTCATCTCTGATTAGGAGATTTTGAGCAAACCTCTTATAATTGTGACAGGCTGCCATCCTAATGAGGAGAAATACAGGCATGCATGAATTCATGGAGACCTGTGTTGATAGCTCCTTGGTCAGAGCAGATGTGAATTGCTTGGTGTGAATTTTTGCTTTGCTGCATTTTTAACTATGTCTTCATCATTCATAAATACTCTGAAAGCAGCCCTTTTCATTGTATTCATATAATAGTTTGAACTCACTCAAAACTGTGTCTGTTCTTGTCCTTTCAGAATAAGCAACTGATAGGACTCAGGGGTCTGTTTAACAAGAACCCAAAGCACAGTTCTGCTGAAACCAGCGGGCACTGTGTACGGAAGCGATCTATTGGTGATAGAATTCTCCGACGCACAGCCAGTGCACCAGCAAAAGGTAGAAAGAAAAGCAAGATGGGTTTTCTGGAAGCTACTGAAATTAAAGATAGTGCATCAGAACCAACAGACCTGAAAGACAAAGAAGGAGTTGTAAGGCGTACAAGCCGGAGCTTGCAAGCACGTCCTGCTTCTATGCCTGTGGACAAATACCTTCTTGTAGAACTGCCATGCCCGGCAGATGAAACTACTCAAGATGCCAAAGGAAAAGAAAACACATCTGGTAAGATACTTCCAAAATTACTTTTGGTGTAGTAGGTTGAAAAAGTCTGTTGAAAGACTTAGTTCTGCAGTCTTTATGCAAGTAGTTTTATTCAACTCAAGAGTTACTGGACAAAATTATTCTGCAAACAAGGCACATGAATTGCAATAATTTCTGGAAGTACTCTTAAAAGGGCACTTCTCGGATTTTTTTTTTTTTTTTTGTAATTTAAGAAGCAACCTTCAGTTGTATTTCATCAGTTTCTGCTTTACTGCTGTCTGTTTACTTATGGAAATGGAGCTGCTGGCCTGGTGGGTTTTCTCTCCCCGTTTTCAAGGAGGAGCAACAGCATGCAGCATGTTTTTGGAAATAAGCATGTGCAAAGACCGATGCAGACTTTCAAATGGATGTAAAGGGGGTAAAAGTAGGTCAAACTCTACCCAGCAGTCTTGATAGTTTCCTATTAAACTAGGTTGCTTAATTTGATTAATTTATATGAAAGACGTGTTGGGATACAATCGTGGTCTTCTATTATTGATGCACAATACAATTTAATTCTTAAAACCCCCTTTTTTCCTAAGTACATTTCAGCAATAATAGTCCTGGTTTCAAAATCCAGTTATTCCCATGACTACAGCAAAGTTAGTGTGTTTGACCTGCCTAGTATTTGATTTGCTGGAATATTTACGTAAGTCTAGGAATCTTGAATACAGTAGCTTTAATTCATTAGACCTGTTGTCTTCACCCTGAGATTTTCATACAGGCTGTCCCATGGGGCTGCAGGGGTAGCCAGATCCTAGTTCTGACAGTGCAGTGTTTCTGCAGTTAGTCCCGCAGGGCTCTTCCTCAGCTGGCACAGGACAGCTGGGAGCATGGTCTGTCTTCCTTGGCGCACAGAGAGCACACAGAGAAGCTCTCTTGGCTGTGGGGAGTGACAGAAATGCTGCTCTGAGTATTTTTAGCTATGAAGCAGCAGCTTCCAGCAACCACAGGAGCCACCCTAAAATAGAGGAACTACTGGGCACAGATAAGAACACATTAAGACACCTTTGTTCTAGTTGCCTGTGTAAGTGGCTCTGAAGGAACAGATAATCTGAACATTGCTTTGTAAAAGAAGTTGGGAGAAACAACAAGCAAAATCAAACCAATTGCTTTTCTACTACCCTGAGAAGAAACTGTAGACAGAGGAAAAAGGATATTCCTCGTAAAAGAAGTTAACTTTGAAATGCTGTATTTTAAATTGAAAGATCCTCTAAATAAACCTTTGAAGATGATACAGCTCAGCCATTCTTTGCAACAAATGTAACAATTTCTTACATATTTCTTCCTAAGATGCTACATACAAACACACAAAATTCTTTTAGAAGAAAATTCCACATTTTGGTGGTCACAGTTACTCACTTATAGCAAAATAGTCTTTGTAGAAAACACAGACCGTGGTGACATGACCTAAAAAAACAAAAGCTGTCACAGAAAATGAATCCTGTCTCTTCTAACTATGAGTGGCATAGAATTCTATCTGTTAGAGTGAGGAAGACTAGTCTATGAAGGACTGGTCATCTTAGACATTAAGAAATGAGACATGAAGGAGGTGAAATTCCAAATGGAGCCCTCTTCTGTCCCCAAAGGACCTGTTCCCTTCTCTGTGCTGCAGGAACACCCTGGCGTAGTGGTGGATGTAGAGAAAAGCTACCTGTGCCCCTTTTTTTTTTTTTTTTTTTTTTGTGGAAGTACCTACCTGAAATAGTGCGAGGAAAAGATACAGTTGCAGCCTTGTGCACCTACAGGAATAGGCCTGGGTATTCTCATAAAGTAAGCTTAGCCTAAATATTACAGAGTGGGAGGTGGCTTCACCCATGGGGAGTTACTAGCCAGATGAAGTGTTCGTTACTGTAGTATACAGTGAAGAATGGAAAGGGCTGACTGTCCAATAGAGATGTTTCTTGTTAAAATACTATGGCTGAACGTATCTCTACTGCCTGAATTGGAATTATGCCAAGTGGTCCATTTTCACCTGTCTTCCTTGTAGAGAAAAAAAAAAAAATCTACAAATCAAAGCAGTGTACGTCTCATCCATCCTTATCTAGATGCACTTGGAAAGCTTGGGAAACTTTTCAGATTTTGGAGATCAGCAAAACCAGACATGTCTGTTCTTACAGTGGGGGTTCAGTCACTGTTAGTGAATGATCAGGGCTTCTCTCGTTTCCTTCTAGGGTACCTGATTCCTAGGAAATAATAGAAACAGTATGTATTATGCCCAGCTTGCTTCTGTAGTCCCTGCTTGATTAAAAGCTCCAAAGGAATGGGTCATGGAGCTTGGATTTGGCATATAAAGACATGTAAGAAGATTTGGTGGAGAAAATATCTAATTCGTATTCTTTAAGGAATTCAAAATCTTGCTCTCATGAATGCAGAATGCTGTTAGAAGATCAGAAATCAGATCCTTAAATTGTAATACTTTCCAATAACTACATGTATAAAACAGTCTGGAATCCATCTATTTGGTACTTTTCACTCAGCTCTTTTAAGCATGCATCTGGTTTCAAAGTATTATGTTTTTTAACAGAGCTGTTTTGTTCTGTCTTTATTGCCATGCTTCTTTATAGTACAAATCTGAATAGGAACACAGCTGAAGGTAATACCATGTGCAAGCTATGATATGGTGCCTCATTAACATTATTTGCAACAAATATTACATCACATGTTTGATGTAATAGACATTCAAAGGAAGTTTCAATGAAGTGCCTGCAGTTGTATTTTTCCATTTATTCATATCACTCAGATAATTTGTACCTGCACAACCCCATGATTAAGTTCTCTCACAAACTGTACCTAATTTTGCGTTCTCCATTTGTCTGTCTAAGGACAAAATAGTTGTTAATAAACAGAACACAATATTGTACTCAGCTAACATGTTTCTTATTTAATTTAGCCAACAGTGATGACAATACAAATAAGAAGGAAACAAACTTGAAAGAATCTGGTTTTCTATGTTCGGAGAAACCAGCAAATACTTCAAATTTGGCATCTCAGTTTAAGAAGAAGAATGACCAGGAGACTACAGTTGACTCTTTAGTAGCACCTCTGCAGGAGCAACCTGAAAATTTAGTTTTTGCAAGTGATGTAGCTGAAACAAACCACCTTATAGACTATCAGGAAAAGAATCTTTCTGATGAAACTGTCCCTCTAATGCAGGACTCTGATTTTAAAGTTGCCACAGAAAAAATGCATAACAAACACTGTGCAGACAATAAAAAGGAAGACGACACAAAAGAGTCTAAGGAAGAGAAAATAACTCTTGTAGGGACTTCCCTTTCTCAAGAAGTAGAGATGGAAAGTCACAAATATGACATCATCAAGAAAAGCACTACAGCACCTCTCTCTTTGACAGATATTTCTTCTATCAGTTGCCCTGATGCTCCTGATTTGCACTCTAGTCTAACCATGCAAGACAGTGACCTTTCTCACCTTATAGATGAAGTTTCATTAGTGAATGAGAATGAGATGGATAGCACTGTCTCAGCTCTGATAGAGCAGTTTGATGTCACAGATGACGAAACTAACCTTACCAGTGTATCAAGCCTCCATGGCACTAGCAGCCAGGCTTTCAGTATGACAGCTGCACACACATGTAGGCTTACTGAGGATCTTAACAGTCCATGTAAGCACAACTTTACTATCACAAAAGCCATCAAATCCCCTTTGTTCTCCACGCCAGATACTACCCTGTTCTCCAGCCCTGAGACTGGAGAGTATTCTGTGCACACAGTTGCCCATGAGGCAACTCTTACACCAGCTTCTGAATGTAAGACCCACCGTGGATTACTTTGCAAGAAGAAATTAAATAGTATAGAAAATGACATGCCTAGCTCTCCTTGTCCTTCATCTCTCTCTTTGCTAAATGCAAATCCCAAAACAATATGTGGAACAAAATCTGGAACAAGCTGGGAAGCCTGCAAGACTGCTAGTTCTTTTGTTTCCAATAGCCTCATCTTGGAGGAGACACTTGTTGACCCTCTCAGTGGTGAAAATTCAGAAAGCAGCAGCCTTGTAGAAGTAGATGGGGATTCCCAAGATCTGTTGGTAACTGCATGTGAGTACAAAAGGGAGGATATGAGCCAGTTGGCTTCCCCTTTGAAACTGAGGCAAAAGCAGAATGCTGGGCACAATGGAGAGAGGCCCTCTGGGAACAGTGCAACTGTTGAGCTCTGTGGTGCTGCCCTGGACTGCTCAGAGAACTTCAGGACTGCAGGGTGTCGGCTCCCTTTTCCAGTATGTGAAAATGTTGGCTTCTTGTATCATCATCGTTCAGATAAACAGGAAAATGTAATGTGTAACTCCGAGAGATCCCAGCTCAACATACACTCACCACTGCTCAAAAACGCTTTGTCTTTCCCCCCTCATTCAGCCATGAAGCAGACTAGCCCTTGCAAATCCAAGAGTCTCGGTGACTTGACATCAGAGGATATTTCCTGTAATTTTGAAAGTAAGTATCAATACATAAGTAGGAGCTTTATCTCATCAGGCATGAGAGACAAGAAACTTGCTGCTATGAAGACTATGAGACCACATTCTACAGATGCTCTGACGGAACAGCTGAGGAAGCTGGTGTCCCTGGACCAGGAGGACAGCTGTCAAATGCTGTACTCCAGGCAGATTGATGAAGACTGCCCAAAAGCACTGGTCAGAAAACTCTCTTCCAGAAGCCAGAGCAGAGTGCGGAATATAGCCAGCCGTGCCAAGGAGAGACAGGAGGCTGCCAGCAAGCAAAAATCTTCTAACACAAGTAGTGTAGCAGGGGTTGTCCTTCGGAACAAGCCCTCAGCATCCCCTCATGTTATCAACAGGCATTCAACAGGCTCATACATAGCCAGGTACCTGAATGGCTTCCCTGGGGAGGATGTGGGGGGCCGCGGAATGCCGGGGGGGGCATGCGCTGCTTTGCACTATGGCTGTAGTGACCAGTTATATGCACATGATTCTGTTCTGCAGCTGGAACACAGTAATGATGATAAGCCTGAAATTTATTTCCT